GAAGCTGGACTTGTCCCTGGGATTTTCTGGGAAGGGGTGCAAAAGTAAGAGATGATTGCCTGAGCCTTTTGCCCATCATGCAAGCAAGCCTGAAAAGTTCCTTGAATTGCCCTATAAAAAAATCCTTTTGTCCCAGACAATGGGGTGAGACATTTTCTGAACCCTAGTAAAACCAATTTTTAGCCTTAGATTGTAAAAATGTAAGGGTTGGGGTGTGAAAAGTCAAGACACCCCTAAATTGTGCCTACCACACTATTGGGTTGCCATAATAAACCAATTCTTATCCTGTAAAGTGGGGGCTTGAGATCCATTTAAGACATAAAGGGTTACCAAAGTTTTCTTGTCCAATATATTTCAAACAGAATCATCTTGCAAGTCTAAAGACAAAGTTGGCCAGGTTACAAACCCAATCATGCTTCCTGGAAAATTTGTCAAAGGAAGACTGGTTTTCCACAGACAGCATGGAAATCACAGGTAAAATGCTGAGTAAGATAAAGCAAAAAGTTATTTTGTATACTTTTAGTCATAGTACTATGCCACCATATTGATTATTTAATAGTGAATTTTGATATTGTATGAAATAAAACAATTGAATGATTTACTGATTTATCATTCCAAGAGTTGTGACATTTCACCAATAGTAGATGAGTATAACTAAAAGCCAGTTAGTTAGTGATAGGCTTCCATTAGCTACATTTATTAAAATGTATGGGATCTTTTACTGCTGTCTTTTAATGCATTCTTATGTACCGGTAGTATGCCTTTTGACTGGTCACAACTCTAATATTTATTTCCATTGGTTGCATTTCACGAGTACAAAATGTATGAAATGAATCACACAAAGTCTGGAACAAAACAGATATTATGAAACTCCAAACAGCAGTAGTAAAACCTGGTAGAGTGATCGTATAGCAAAAACAGCCAGTCAAATTCAGTTAAATTAAACATGAATACATTTCCTTAATGCTGCCCTCAAACAAAGACAGGATTGACCTGACATTTTCTGGTCAAGTTTCGTAAAAAGGAGGATACACAGCACCCTTTTTTTTGTAAATTATTTACTGAAGCCTCAAGTTAAAGTAACCTTTGTCATTGAAGACTGGAACATGACAAATTACCATGAAATAAGGATAATAATCTATTTAAATTTTCTGTTATAAAAGCTGGGTGTTGTTTTCGTCGTAGAATATCAAGCAAACATGATGAAGGAAAGAAAGGAAGTTAAAGAGACAACTGAGAAACTGGAAACAGATTTAGATGACTTAGCTGAAACTCTATGCACTAGTAAGATATAAAATAGACAATAAAAATGTTCAGTGTTTAAAATTAATGGTTAAATCTCACAAGGCAAAGCATCCATACATGTATATACTGGTTGTACTTGTCTAACATTCAATGAGTTGCCGACGGTCATCCTTTTACAGAAAAATCCAGCTCTAGTGTAGTTCTTGTGTGAAAAAAACTCCCAAAAACCCCTGAATGAAATAAGAACCTCATCTCAATTATAAAGGTTTGACTGACATATGAACCTGGATTCAGGCTGACTTGCAAGACTGTGGGCAGATCTTGGCATCTAAAATGGACTCTACTAGAAACAATAGAATCCATGGTCAGCCAGCTGTCGTTATCTTTAATATCTGGCAGGGCTGTCATAAAGAGCTGGGCTCTGGGGATTTCCCCCGGATATTATGAACATGCCCCCTGGCTACTTTCATAGGAAAATAGAAGAAAAATGGAACCAAAAGAAACCTCTAGCTGTATGATTCCCCGCCTACTTGTTGTATTTACCCGGCAACTTGAAATCTTAGTGACAACCCTGATCTGGTCATTTCTGATGACTGGAAGACCATAAATCTCGAACCCTGACTGATTCTTATTATATAAACTGCGTGTTAACTGCATAAAATAAATTTTATAAAATTCCACAGATCACAAAGTCTTGAAGGAGAAACTTGAGCTTTTGGAACAGAAGCTTTCATCCTTAAAAGACAAGGTTAAAACAGAACATATGTTATTCATCTTTCCGTGTGATTTTAATTCTACAAACTAATAAAATTTGTCACAGAACGAATCACAAAATAATTATTGCAAACTCTACATATGTTCTTTCCACTTAGTGTGCAAGTACTGCTGAGCCATGTCAAATGTTTTAATTATTCTAAAATATGTGTACACTAATCTTGTTAGATGCTGGTCCTAAATCTTAATAGGTTAAGCAACAATATTATAAGCAACTGCCACTTTTTCTTGTCATTTCAGTACATTGCTTCAGCAAACAAAAGAGAATATTAGTTGGGTTCACATTAGACCACTAAGTCTGACTTAGTAATCTCTTAAGTCGACTTAGTGAAAATGACAGGTATGAACCGCTAAGTCACAGAAGCGTGATTTCTGTCTTAGTGTCGGCAAACTCAAACGACTCAAGCAATTCTTAAGTCTGTTTCAAACATGACTTAAGGCTGACTTAAGAAACCTGATAGCAAAAAAAATTCAAAATCGTGGGTTTTATCAGATAGAGATTCCTGCGTTAGGCGCCAAAAGCAAAGAAATCACGACACAGTTTCTTCTCANAAATTGTGACCTCAATAGAAGTACAGCTCTTAAAAATCTTTAAAATTCATTTTATCAAAAATCAGATCATTTACGATAGCGACCTAATTTTTGCTCCCATTTTAGTGGCATCACTATTTAACAGTTATGTTAATTTAAAATTCTAATGATATTCAGACAAAAATCTACCACTACAAATCAATATTTGCTTCTAAAAGGGCTCTCATCAAAGAGAAAAAATTCACTAAACACTCTTTTATCGGGCTTTAATTACTTTGAGTTGTTTTCATTTTCAGCAAAATACAAATACTAACTGTTTGTTAAAAAAACAACATCTAGCTACTGTGTGCATGAAAGTTACACATCCCACATGCAACCAAAAACCTTTTTTTAAGATCAAGATAATTTTTTTCCTTTGGCATTGCAAAGAAAGCCACCAAAACAAATCAGTCTGATTGCTAGCATAGCTGGCCTTCAGTAATTGTCAGTCTGAGTAATGAACAGCCTCTTAGACTTTTGTCAGTTAACACTGCCTTATGTACTCAAAAGAAACATTGTATTACACCAATGTACAATGATTGCAATGTGGAGGCATGTGTGGCTGAGCATTTAACACCTCGAAATCCAGATCTGGAGGTTTGGGGTTCAAGCCTTGCACTTCGTGTTGTTTCTTTACACAAG